GCCCAAAGCATCCTTGATTACAGCAACTCTAGGTTTGAATCTGTTCTTCAGTTCCTTGAGCTTAAGGAATGCTGAGTGAGTTCGGCCCTTTTGATTTTCTGACTCTAGCTCCTCGCATATTTCATTGTAGTATTTTGCTTTGTCATTCCGAGCAGCCTTTTGGAATCTTCTGTTCAGCTCTTTAGTATCTTGAATTCCGGTGGGAAGAAACTTGGCAAGCGTGCGTAACATCTAGAGAAGTGATAAAATAACTGCGAACCAAGTGTATTCTACTTGACATATACAAATAATTGCTTTGATTCCTCAGGCTACCTTCTCTAAAGGAAAACAACAAAGTGAAATTATTAATTATAATAATTACTCAAGGTTCCTAGACTCTCATTTAGATTACAGATCATAATTTCATTGGTTAAAAGTGGTAAAATTTAGGGTTATTATTTTAAAGACTAAGATGAGGGGTTTTTTTTATAACCTGTGGTCCTCAGACCAAATTTATTAATGTTGCAATGAACATTGTTTAAGTGGTACAGCAGTCATTCATTGCTACTGAAGTAACTTAGAGTTGCTGTGATGCTGAACACTGTACCATAGTTGTGTCAAATATCACAATGGTTACCTATCATGGACAGTGTTTGGAGGAGTTTCCAGATTGATTTAGGTTTGGAAGCAGGAGTGGCGCCCACCTTCTAAACCAGATGCTTTTGGAAACTCTATGAACTTAGAGAAATTATGTTAATTATAAAACAGAGTTCAGGTCTTTTGTTCATAGGGTCACTAAGAGTCATATTCGACTTGATGACACTTAACCACTACTAAGACTTGTTGTTGTTTTTGTTAAGTGTCGTCAAGATATAGATGACTCACAGCAACCCTATGAATGAAAGACCTGAAGACTTGTATAACTTACATCGTTTCTCCAAGTCCATAGACTTTCCAGAGGCAAGCGATTTCAGAGGTAAGCTATTTCAAGAAGTGGATGCCACTCCTGCTTCCAAGCTTGTTTTAATCGTGGAGCTCCACCAAACACTGTCCACTATGGGTAACCATTATCACATTTGACACATCAGTGTCACAGTGTTTAGCATTTATTATACCAAACACCTCCATACAGCAAATAGACAGACCAGTGCTATACCACTTAGAAGAATGTTTAACCAAAACCAATTAAAAGCAGGCCTGAATGCCACAGATTAACATCACACACCTTTGACTTGGTAGCACAGCTTTCTATCCACCAGGCCCACAGAGCTCTATGTTGGTGGCGTTGTTAAGTGCCATCGAGTCATAGACAACTTATATTGACCCTATGAACAAAAGACCTGAACACTTGTATAACTTATATTTTGGAAGAATATTCTTTTACTTTGTACATCACTCTGTCAATTTACTGTTCTGAGATAATCTAGGTTTGCTGTGATGCTGAACCTTGTGACATTGGGGTGTCAAACGCCATATTGTTTTCCCAA